TCTCTCTCTCTCTCTCTCTCTCTCTCTCTCTCTCTCTCTCTCTCTCTCTCTCGTACGTGGAAGGGGTGTTGCAACAAGGGGTTACAGAGCACGGCTCGCTTTAGTTCGGCGGGCTAAATGCAGTGGGCGTGTTCCATTACTTTCATTATTTTCAGTCGCCGGGGGTTCGGTGGCTATCGATGCCCGAATGTAACCGTAGGTCGCCCCGTGCGTGCAACGTAACGCAGCCAGCGAAAGGTGGGCGACCTACGATTTTCGCCCTTCGAGTCGATGCGAATCCATCGACGGCGACGCGGCGACAGCGAATTCGCTGTATCGAAGCAGCAATATATATTATACATGTGCGAGCGCGCGCATGTGTGTATGTGTATCGACCGAGATCAATTTAATCCGCTCGAAAAAAAAAAAGCGAAGAGAGGGACGAGAGCATTGGGCTTCGAGTCGAAGAGGCCGCACGCGAGGGTGAACCGTTAACTTAACAAGCTGTCAAGACGTCGCCGCGTGTCAATCCGCGGCTCTCCAACGATCCTCGAAATAAAGCCACCTAAAAGCCTTCAGTCGTCTCTCGTGCGCGACGAGTCGTGGATGAGAGTTTTTAGTTCGGTCGCAAAACGTCCGAGTCCTTCTCTCCTTTTCTTCGATTTCAAACAACGCTTATATGCGCATTTATATTTATATTCTTGAAAAGATGACTGTAGATATTAAATATCTACAATTTTTTTCATTATTCTTAATATTAGAATCATACCAACTCAGCTGATAATTCCTTCTTTTTCAGTTAATTTACATTTGGAGCTTTACATATTTATGATTTTTCATGAACAAGTAATTACAAATAGTTTTACTTTTATGATGACATCCTTCTATATAAAAATCCAGATTTATCTTGAACGCGATCGGATTTATTTGGGCTCGCGGTTCTATGTATTAATTGTTTCATTTTTTATTATTGATTTAGTTATACAAGGTGGAAATGAATAAACGTTGAATATTTTAGGAACATATTCCCATTTTTCAAAAAGTATTAAAAAAGTATGAATATATAACTAAAATAACCCACTAATCATATAGTGCTATTCCTAATAAAAAACTGAAACGAAAAGTCCTTTACTTTATTTCGCAATAT